ACTCACCAGAGACTGAAATAGAACAGTTAGAGGGAGAGAGATTTTATCACGATCATTTAAAGGACGAATTCAATGACGCTCACAAGGAGTATGACGACTTGTTAACATCAAAAGAGATAAGGGAAGCTTCGTATCAATGGTTCGATATCCGAGATCGAGAATTTTTTGAGTGTCAGAGTAGACTTTGCGAACGCATCCATACGTTTGAAAGAAATTCGGCTAGTTGGGCGCCATCTGTTAAATCGGGTCACAGCAGAAAGTCAAAGGCGTCTGGCAAGTCGACAGTAAGTTCCTCGTCCATAAAGCATCTCTCTCTCGCCCTTGTCAATGCGGCAGCTAAGGCCGCAAAATTGCGGGCTGAAATGGAATTTCTAGGAAAGGAAAAGGAACTAAGACGGTTGCAAATAGAAAAGGAACTAGAAGAGTTTTTGATTTACCCTCAACATTTTCCTGGATTATAAATGATGCCTTTCTCCGTTTCGCTTTAGGCAAAGTACACAAAAAAACACTTAATGCATCACTGATATTGACTTTAATAGCTTCAACTGATTTTTGCTTTTTGCTACTCCTCAGTAACTATACTACTAACTATGACCTGCACTTAAAGGCAAACTAACTTAAATAGCCATTTTAATCTTAACTCGTAAAGGAGACAGAAAAGTCATTTAGAAGTGAAGACAATGGGTAATGTGAACAATCCTACTGCAAAGTAGCAAGGTTACTTCGCTGTATTAGCTGCACCGCTACTTTCTTCATACTTTTTCATCCTTGCCGACTGAAAAATTATGTTAGAAACTATTCGCTGCATTATTATCGGTAACTGAATTAGTAAATCATAAGATCGATAACAATATTTGTAGTAAAGGTTTATTTATAAGCAATTTTTAGCGGTTTTAGTCATGTAGAAGATACACTAGGTGGATGGTGTATATTCTTTCCAGTAAGCATATACACGGCTTAAAAAAGGATTCTCCAGAGCAGCTCTGGGTCTACTCAAGATCGTCATATTTACCNACCTTCATGATTCTATTCTTTAAACTTGTAATACAAAGAATGGGAAAAGAAGCATAACTACCCTCTTGCTCTTCACTGCAGTGAAAAAGGCTGCGTAAGAAGCTTCTCAGCTTTGCTACTTTGCCTCCCAAATAGTCTTGCACCTGGAGAGGAAAGGAAACTAGCCTATAATGACATTCATTAACTGACCATTTCCCCTTATTAATTGTTAGAAGGTGAAAGGTGCCAAAACATGAAAAGTTACTATACTAATGTCTAACCAAGAAACCCATACAGTGCATTAACGAGCACAGTTTATTAGCCAGTAAACCACCGAGTTCTCCCTCAAATTATTTAGATTTCAAAGGTGATAAAGAAATGTTATTATATACCTTTGGTGTTGTTAATGTGTAAAGAATCGGGTTTATCACTGAATTGATGGGCAGAGCAAAGACGGCAATCCACACAGCCAGATCTCCTGGTGGTTTGAAATTCTCCTCCAAAAGCGACCTCAGACCAAATACGATGATTGGTATCCAGCAGAGACAATCAGTGAAGATGATGAAGAATACTCTTTTGGCAAGACCTGTCTCCCTCCTTGTATTGGCTGATTGATTTTTAACCCACACTCTGCTTATGAATATGCCGAGGTATGCAGCTGTGATGAATATGAAGAGGAAGAAATTGAGGCCAACAAATACAGAAACAGAGTACTCCCAACCTGCAGTTTTGTCAGGAGAGAGCTGCAAGGGAAGGCAGACAACACTTTTCCCATAGTAATTGTGATATGTTTTCAAATCTTCGAAGTATCTCAGGCCAAACATTGGGAAGAATGCCAGGAGGAAGCCGACGAGCCATATGATGGTGCAAAGGGTGTGGGTCATCCTACGAGACAGTTTTTTTTTCTAAAAAACACATTAGTTTCTCCATCTTCAGTTTGCATAGATCCGAATTGTTCCACAAAAGATCTTAACTATTTTCATTTTGTACATTGAGGTTTTCCTTTAATTAACTCACAAGCGTTTCAGTCCTCTTAAACCATCGAACAAACCCTCTGGCAACTCTTTTAGGTTATTGTTGTCAAGTTGTCTGTATAGGAGAAAAAGAGTTTAAAAGTTGTTACAATTACTTTCAAACTTAGTTACTACACTTCAATCACTTTGAACTGGCTGAAAAAACTCATCGGACTGATAGGCTATCTGTAGTTTAGAATTTAGGAATAACAACTTCCGAGTTCCAAAGTGATTTATTCGGCATTAAAACGACCCTTGCTCTAATTTTCCAAAGAAATATTTCACATGAGGCTTGTCTTTTGAGGGAGCTAATCTTATGGACCACTTTACTTATATTGGCCAATCATGATCATTGATTATAGGCGACCTTTATCGGTTGTGTGTAACACAGGTATTTAAGGATTAAAACATCCGCTAGATAAAATAAAATATGCACCATTAGAAGACAATGTGTTTATATGACAAATAGTTTATATGAGAGGACGACTTTCACTTACAGTCGCTGCAGCATGACCAATTGGGAAAATAAATCGCCTCCCAAATTCCTCATCTTATTGCCGTATAGAAACCTGCAGGTTTTTAAAAGCTTTGTCATTCCAATATGTGGAAATGTATAAATCCTCGCTGAGTTCGACTGAGATACTGGCGTAGAGAGAAGGAGGGGGTACGCTTGCGGGTTATTTTAAAAAATGTTTGAAAAATAAGTAAAAAATTAATTTTTTATATCAGTATTTGATGTGGACCTGGTTTGTTCGTGATCCATCTCTAGAGATCCACCTCTCCTTTTCATACCGGCTACGCTACTACAAATAAACAAAGTTATCAAGGGAATACAGAACGGGGTTTAAAAAGCGAGAACCATCGACATAAATAACAATATGATCACTAATCCAACTAAGAGGATGCTTTAATGAAGTTATGTTACTATCTTCTGTCCAATACTGTCCATCTACAAACCGTCGCAGCCCCTTTCACTTTCTTTATGGCCGACTACACCCACCAAGCTCGAGGACCTTCTTGATCATATCTAGTAAATACTTTAATAAAACTCGTAGCAATGTCAACAAAGGAATAAATCTCAATTATTTACAGTCCGACCAGCTCCGATTTGTTATTGAATACTCCAGGTGGTAGCTCCTTTATCTGGTTGTTACCCAAATTCCTAAGAGAAGATATTTTCCTGAATTCAGTTAAAAGTGTTAACTCTTGTGTAGTTTTGCTGTAGCGAACATTTCTTTCAGTCAAATTGACAGTTTATCCGTGTTAATTATGTTCAGGTGAAACAGACGCTTTTGCTATAATTCTGATATGATCGATGTAGGATTATTCCACAATGCTACTTTACAAATGAACCTGACCCTATGTCACTCGCCTTGTGGTTGACGACACTCATTTAACATAAAGACATATTCGCTCATATTCAGCAAATAATGAGATTTTGAGCACATCTTGACGGCGAGTGTGGAGAAGCAATATTCTTTACAATGTTCTTTATAACTTAAGCACCAAGCGTATATTTAAGAGTTGTACAATGCTGTCACGAAAATGAAGTTTTGTAATTAGAGCGGCTGTAGCTTGACTCATCAATCAAATACGACAGTTGGTTTAAACACCATCCCCAGCCCTGTTTTCCTCGCCATGAATTAAGCCTGAAGAAAATGTGGCTGAGATAAAGTTATGGAAAACAAAACAAATAAAATTTGCCTTCTGTAACATCCATAAAACTCTCTGTTTTCTTGAATGAAAGGCAAACAAAAACGAATCTTAGTGGATATAAGGTTCGAAAACTGAGGAATATCAATAGGGTAAGGAAAAAAGGGAACAGGGGGGAAGTGCTGGGAGTAAGTGTTGCAAAAGTTGATATAAAGCATTTGTACAGACGACATTTTACTTACAGC